AAATATTTAAATTGTATTGAAGTAAGCATTCAAATTTTATTTGAATACAGAAGTCTTCTAGACATCTCTAATTATCTTTTGCTAAATCCACTTTATCTGTGATTAGTATGAAAGGGTGAATGTTTTTGTCAGGAGCTTATAGCTTTGCTTTTGTAATAGGCTGCATTTTAAGTAGCCAATTGGATTGGTGTTGGCCTTTGAAAAATGTAAAATGCTTTGAAGGAAGACTTAAATAGACCAATAAAGATTGTACGAGCACACACGTTTAATCTCAGGACTCTCTGCATTATAGTTCAAGCTCTGGGAAACTGAAGGAATTGCACTGGAGAATAATCAAAGGGTACAGCTTTATTACTTGTCTGCTCTGAAAATGGGCTGTTTCCTCTGGCTTAAGACACTGGATGCTCTAGATTTTCTGATAAAAGAAAGAACACAGCACTTTAGATACTATATATTGTAAATTTTAGGCATGTGCAGCTGTGAAGGTGATGGCTCATCTGATTACAGAAGGAACACAGGATGCATGCAATTGTTTCTCGTGGTCCCTCAAAATAATTCTGAAATAACTTGGGATGACAAAGGCCTCCCTGAAGGATGAATCCTCCATTATAATTATTTTTGATCGGAATCATAAATTGACACAGAAAGTGATGGGAAAGATCAGTTTGTCAACTTTGTGTTCAGAAAACTTAATCCACATAACTTTAAGAATAAAAATAAATGTATGCTTTAAACAATGGTATCACATCTAAATGATTTTTTTTTCTTACTACCATTCTGTCTTGAACAATTCATGAATCTTCCTATTTGCTCCAGTATGAGGCCATATAAGGACAAAGTGCTACGTGTATGTTTCATATTCACTTGCTGTCCAGCTGAGATGAATACATTTTTTCTAAATATTTCTGTGATTGCACACTACATTTATTTTCTTTTGATTGTATCAGGGGGATCTGAAATACCAAATATGCTGATAATCGATGGGGAGGGACAGATTAAATCAATTAGTTACTTTTATTCCTGCATGCCATTCTTGTATTTTTTTTTTTATGGATCTTATTTTCATTGTCTATTCTGTTTTCATTGTTTTTGAGAATATCAGTTGAATTAGCACGGGCTCTGACAGTGTTGTGAGGGTTTGTCTTCTTTATCTTTTCCTTTCTTTTTCCCATTAATCAAATATCATTATTTTCTGCAGTCTCCACCGTGGAACATTATCATTTCCAAGCAGCACAAAGATCATTATAGGTTTTCAACTAATTATGAGATTTTTAGCCTTTAGAAGTAGGTGGAAGTGGCTGGTTAATAGTTGGGAAAACTCTGGCTTTCAATGTTAATGCCAGTCTTTTTTTTAAGTGCTTCATCTTCCTTTATTCAGTTTTGATTAGAATTATTTGTGTGACACATTCATACACACATACCCTGTTCCCATCTGCACAAGGAGGGTCCTGAGTTCCTCTTAGGATGATTAAAGAAAGGTCAATTTCTTTGCCCTTATTACCCCATCAATTACTTAGCGTACTGTAGTATTAGTACAAGATTATCTTTTAAAAAGCCTCATCTCCAGCCTTGAGAGTCTCATTTCATTCAGAGAAACACAAGAGAATCTTGTCCTCTTCTTTGCTATTATTTAACTGGGGTTTATTTATGCATTTACTTATTTATTTGTTCTGTGGATAAGCGTTTGTAAAGTAGGCGATAAAGTCACATGTAAGAATAATGAAAGGCTGAATGAATCTTTGTTTATTAAAGCATTCTAAAAGTTTGTCTCATGAAAAGTAATTAGTAAGTGCTAGTAGTTGCTTGTGGATTAGCAGTAGCCCAGGTCAACAACTGAAATCATCAAGATAGAAATTACAAAGCCAACGATTACAAGCTGAAATTCTCTTCCTATCCCCAAAAAGCAACAACAAGAAGGAAAGCCCATAACCTCAGCAAAATCAGAGGAAAAAAAGCGTGCTTTTAGTATTGGATCTCAAGATGTACTGGTTCTTGTAGCTTTGGCAAAGCTTGTTTGCTGATCTTAATGGCTGGGATGTGTTTCAAAAGATTTAACTTCCTGCCCCTCCATCTGTGTGCGCGCATTTTAGAAAGATGTTGGTTATCATCAGTTCCCTACCTCAGCACTGCTGCTGTCAGACCCCATGTTTTTTTACATTGCTTCTAGAAGCACCACCTGCCTTTCTCAGCTGTGAGCACGTGAAGCTGTAATGTCTTTTCTCTATCAATGTCTGCTCTGCTGAAATGCCATGAAGCATCATTACCGTAAGCTCAATAAATACAGAGCTGTACTAGGCTCACGGAAGGAAGAACCTGGAGGAGTTGTTTAGGTCAGTGGCATACCACAGAGGCATCTTCTAAATTCTTGTAAGGGGTATTTTGAGATATAAAGGAAGTATTTAAGTGGATATCACTCTTTTAATGGTAGAAGAGGAATCAGTCACTCCAAAAGTATTGCCTCCTATTTCTTTCCATGGGAAATACAGTAGATACAATGAGCGCAATAATACTATTTGATAGAGCAAATTTTCAGCTATAAAATGCTATTTTTCAACAGTCGCCACCATTAGATACACATTTTTGCCTGTGATGAACAAGAGCTGTGCTCGTAAATATCTGTACCAGTGGAGGTGGCCCACTGTTGCTGTTACCAGTGCTGAAACACACCGCCCACTGCCCCACTGTGCTCACATCCACTGTTTGGTCTCTGTAAATGTTCAGCAAGCACTGATGAATGTCAGTGGGTGCCATTGGGTGCCATTTTTTCTGCACAGAGGAATTCAATTCACCTTTGCTCCATACGCACCTCCATGTCAGACGCCATTCTGTCAGGCTGCCCCTCTGCTGCCATCTGTCGCATGTCAACAAGAAGGAAGATCGGTGGGAAGGTTCATCCTCTGCCATACTACCAACATCTGCCTCTGGTGTTGTGGGCTGACATAATAGAATAGGAAGCATTACTTTTGGAGCAGTCCATGTGCTTTTTTAATCTTGCAGGCCAGACCAAATGACTGAAACTTATTAGGGAAATCAATGAAAGCAGTGGTCATGGGAATCTTCTGTTTAGATCAGTGGAACAGTCTCGTCCTAGCTTTCTGCCATACTCAGATAACTGTCCTGAATACTTCAAGTGGCTTCTCTTAAGTTATACACAGGGTAACCTGTGGAAATATTTCATGTTTTATTGTTTCTTGTGGAATAAAAAATACCAAATGGCATTTATAGAGTGACACTCATCTTGAAGTATTTAATTTTGAACTTTCTCCTCTGTGGCTCTTCAACTGACAAGAAATATTAGAACTTGTACGTTGCAGTTTGTTAAAAAATGTAAATTTATGTTCAGAATTGTTTGTCAGTCTCTCAGAAAATTGAAAGTAATTAAATAGAAAGTTCTACAGATTTGTGCCATCTCTGTACCCTCTCATCTCAAGATGGTGTGAGAAGCAGACAATTGTAATAACTTGCTGCTACTCCTTTCCAGCTTAATTTGATCTTGTTCCTTAATTCTGACAGATTGTTTTTAATTTTCCCATCTGTTCCATAAAAATCTCAAGTGATTGACTCTTAGGAAAAAAGTAATGTCTAATAGCTGAGCCACTTTTAATGAGTTGGTACGATTTATTTAATGAGACGTGCTGAAGAAGGAAAGCCAAAGGAAAAATTGGGCTCGGGGTGGTGGGAGTGAAGAAAGGGAAAGGACAACTGCATCCTTCAGAAGTTCCCACTACTCCCTTTCCCCTTAGCTCTGGGCTGCTGCTGTCTCCACGTTCAGGCAATGCACTCTGTCTTGGAATTACAGTCAAGTATATATATATATATATATATTCAACAGAAACAATACCTTTTTGCTTTTTGCTCGCTATTTGCTTCCAACAGCTCCAAAGACTAAAACAATTGCTTAAAAATTGCCTACTAATGGCATCTCACCATCGATGTGCAGTACGAATCTTTAAGAATAACAGGTGTGAATATAAATGTTCTCATCTGGACTTCCCTCTTCTGTTTTGCTCTTTAAATATTATTATTATAAGGTTTAACAAATATTCTTAATAATTATCAAATAGCAGTTACTCTGTCAGCTCTACTTCAATATGAAATCAAATAATGAGAATAAATGCACAGCTTTCTTACAGGGAAAGCTGAAAGTTTGACTAAATGCTACATATCTGCCATTGTTAGTATAATCTTTTGTAGAATTCATAGGATAATGAATTAACTTTCCAATTGCATATGGTTGGGCACAACAAATGAGAGAGTGCTGCAATGGTAAGAAGCACAACATACACTTGTTCTGCAGGTTTTGATCAGCTACCAACTTTTTTAACTAGTAAAATGTAGGAGTAATTTGACTGGGGATCAGAGCAGGGAAGATCAATTCTCCACACTTTCTGGGCATCTCAGAATCAGTTTCCCTATGGCAGGGATTTCAAGCAGCCTGGAGGACAGGGGAAAGGTTAAAATCTGACTTTTGAACCATAGAAAGTTGTAGCAGTTAAAAGTGCTCCAGATTTAAGTCTGGACAAAGTTGGTGGTGTCTCTTTTTTTAAGGTCCAGCTGAGCAAATGGCCACAGATCAGGTGTCTTCTGTGCTTATACAAAGTCTGGTTTTAGATAGGGCTGAAAGGTGCTTAAAAATTAGATTATTCTAATATGGGCCTTATAGGAGGGAATAAAATGATCTTGGTTTTATGGAATTTTTGACTTACTGCTATCAAATGGATATTTTACTAGGTTGGGTCTTTTTGTTGTTGGGAAGAAGGAATCGATTGGTAGATTGTTTTATCTGCACGACAGAAGGCAAAAGTGACTTAATTTGGGCTTTGGGAACATGACCCATTATCTGTGCCTCTTGATGGATCTCAGTCAAGGCTCTTTTTGCATTGTGGTTTAATAATTCTTCTATGTATTTATGTAAAATGAAATTCACAAGATGTAAGTTTAATAGTGCTGCATGTGTCCTTCATAAAGCATTGATCTTGTGTTTTTTATCTTCTCCCTAGCGTGTCAATCCTGATCTTCAATACTTCTCGGCAGTGCTTTGTAGTGGTGAAGCAGTTCCGCCCAGGTAATCCTCTTTTTTTAGATTTACTTTTGCTCTCTAGCGAAGCAAGCTTTTAAGGGTTTAGCAGTTAAAAGTTGGTGCATCTGTGGTGATAAAATCTTTGTTCTATATTCCGTTCTTTGTGCAGCAGCCCACCCTTTTCAGCAAGTTGGAATTTCTAACCAAGGAAATTTCCATTACAGATGAAACGAGTGATGAGGGTAGCCTCACACCCTGCTTTTGGGAATGCCATTGTCCTCTTCTGGGGACATTTCAAACAGCTCGTGCAATGAGTTACTTTTATTTGAAGCTGATTCTTGACCTATCTAGCTGGCAGCTTTTGTTCAGAATTGCAATGGTCCTTATTTTTTTTTAAAGTAGCTTGTGTTTTTTTTATGTGTTATACACTTGGAAACTGAAAATATGAGAAAATCAGGACTGTTTATGCTATAATTTGATTCATACAATGACCGTTTCGTTTACTGGGACATTATTAGGAATATAAGTTAATATACTGTATTTTCTGACTTTTGAATCAGTTATTTTTATGCAAAGCAGTATTTACTTTTTGGAAGTTAAAAATGAAATGCATATTGTCTGCATCTTAAATTAAAAAATTCACAAGATATTTCACTGACTGTTGCTAAGAAACCATTTCAAGATTGTTTGTGATAGACTTCACTGGAAACTTTCTGAGGTGGTGTCATGCTGTCCTTACTTACCAACAGTGATTGACAGGCTCAGTTTTGTGCCACGCGGTTGTAATAATAGTGTTTACTTCTCATGAAGCACTATATTGATTATTATAAGGAATTTGTTTATCTGTTTATTAGTAATTCGGTGCCTTTTACTTGCCAGCTGAGTAAAATCACTCATGTAGCTGTTGCTCTCTTTGAGGCAATCTTAAGCAGAAGCTGGCATAGATATATGTTTAGTAATGTCCATTATATCATCTCCGTGGGGATGTCAAACCTGGCCTCGGGGGCCAGTGGTCAGTCCAACACCTTGTAGCAGCTCAGTCAATACAACCATGTCCCCCTGTTACTCACAACACTGTAATTTTATTTCCATCAGCTGGTTACTGTCTGCATTGATGCCTGGTTCTCCGAGCAGAAATTAAAGCGAAGGCTTCTCATTGCCTCTCTCAGGATCCCACGGAAGATGATAATACAGCTTTCTTCTTGCAAGCAAACAGCTGCAGCTCAGGCAGCAGGCTCGTCCCCTGCATGTGTGGTGGATGACATATGTGCTTGCCTTGCCTTGGGGTGTGGTGTGCTGATCAGGTTTTCCCATTTAAGTCCGTGCTGTTTCTGAAGGCAGTTGTCCATCTTTGTACATACATCCCCACCACATTCCCTTATGCAGCACTAGCAGAGGTCTGATGTGGCTGCAAACAGATCATTTTGCAACCTACTGTAGGAAACCTGCTTTTAGCAGGGGGTTGGATTTGATCATTCACATAGGTCCGTTTCAACCCCTACAATTCTGTGATTTTGAGGGTTAAGCAGCTTACCTGACTGGCCTGAGAGAGGTCAAGGATGGAGGAAGCTTCATGATGGTAATGAAGTGGCTGTTTCTGACCAAAGTAGTGTAAGCCATCAGAAGATGAGGAAGCAATAGGACACAGCATTAGTGAGTGAGTGACTGCTGGATTCTAGTTTCTGCTCTCTGAACTCTTCATGCCCCTGCAGTAAGCAAACAGCCTGCAGTGAGGAAGAGGAGTGTCTCAGGCTTCCATCCTTCCTGGCACCTAAGCCAGTAGACCACAAGCTGATGTTTGATCCGTTACCTTAGGACCTTGGGTGCATCACTTGTGCAGTCAGTTCTCTTCCTTCAAGAGAGGTCTGAGGGACTGGTCCCTGGTACTAGGGTTTTGCTTCTGTATGAGAGAGAAATTCAGTCCAAATCTTTCCAAGCCTGGTGGTAACTAGTCCATGCTTGATTGAACACTGATTTTTGGACTCTTTAAAGAAGTGATTAGTACAGCTTGTTTTCTTCCTTATTGACAGAGAAAAGCTGCTGGTGTGCTAGCATGTTGGCATATCCCAGGGTTTTTCTCTGAGGAGGACTGCTGGATTGGGTCCTTCTAGGAACATAACTTTGATCTACATGGAGCCCAGTTGTGCTGGGGGAGAAGGAGGATGGCAGGTGCCTGCTGGAATGACAGAAGGGGTTTCAGGGATTCAGCAGCCTTACAACAGAGAGTTACTGTAATCACAGTTTCGTATTTCCATTCCCACACTCTTACCTATATCCTGGTTTGGTGCCTAAGTCCTTTATTGGAATGTATGCTTTGCTCCACTTTGTATATACTGATAAAGATATGTCCATACTGACAAAGCAACACAATCTTAAAAACATTGGGTTCATCTCAGAGAGATCCTGAAAGTAGTTGTCATTTATGGTAATTCATAGCTTTTAAAAGTTTGTGTATTAACAACAGTATGCACACTTCAAGGATTTTTTTTCCTCCTCCTTACTACGTTTTAAGAAGAAAACAGCTCTACTTGTGTCTATCAAAAATGAAGGCTTCTTTTCCTTAAATATTTGTATCTCAAGGGCCTTAATGTACCTACTGCAAACAGCTTTGGGTATTTTGAGTTCTGGACAAAGATGAATTTTGGGCACACTTCTGCACCTCTTGTTTCTATCCAGACCAATCTGAACAACACCCACAAAGTGCTGATCTCTTGTACAACCCTTCTGAGTTGTCACAAGAAACCTGATGGAACTCTAGGCACCAATTTCTGGGGTTTAGAAAGTGCTTGAAAAGTCGTTACTGTGGTACCAAAGTGATAGGGGTCTGGATTTGTCAACAGTGATTTTTTGTGTTTACATCCATTCCTGCAGTTTTCACTTGGGCAAAATTTCAGTTGACATTGGTGAGAGGTTTTGCTTAAATGAGGACTAAAATTTGGCACTTTCTTTAGGAGTGCATTACAGTGGCAGCTGTTTGTAGATTAATTCAAGAAGTCTTTTTCAAACTCCTCACAGGAATCTGTGCAAAGAACTATATGTTCAAAAGGGGATTTTTTTTTTCCAAACAAACATACATGCTTTTCATACCCTTTCTAAATAACAGCTGAGTTGACAGGCTGAAAGACTCATCACTGTGCACATGGTACATTATGTGCAACCCAACTTTCCTGCAAAATAACTGCAGAGTTTAAATTAAATCCTGATAGCCACATTGCTTAACGAAGGGAAGCTGTTAGGAGCTTCTGGGGTGTAGACTTCTTGGACGAGCTAGCTTCCTTTTTAATGTGCATGGCCTCATCCCAAGTGATAAATGCACAAATAGAGCTCAAAGAATAAATTTACAGAAGTTGGAGGAGATCCTTTGCTCTCTGAAGTTGTATTTTCTCTGTGTCATAATTTTAATAGCTAGCACAACCAGATACTTGCTGCTTTCACATGCTCTCGTGATAAGAACTTTCTGCTTCAAATTTGTGTAGTCTATATATTTTTTCTTTTGAATACGAATAAACTCAAAGAATCCTCTTGTTTCTTTTTCTTATGTGATTGTTTGTTTGTTTTAAGCTGTTTACATGTGTGAAGTAGAAAGGCAACATCCTCAGCTCTTCCAGAACCAGGACAAGGAGAGTTTCTCCCGCCTGGAGGATCCCTTACCTGCAGTGGTAGGAGTGACTTATGAACTCTGTGCTGGCATCGTAGACAAGCCACATCTTTCTTTAGAAGAAATTGCCTGTGAGGAGATCTTGGAAGAGTGTGGCTATCGTGTGCCCGTTACAAACCTAAAGAAGATCACTTCTTACAGGTAAAGAGCAGCAAGTAAAGCACCATGTTTTCTTGTGTCACAGATTTCTGAAGTAGCTTGAATGTGAATTAATGCACCCTGTTCTTGTATTTAAGCAATGTGTTGGAGCTGTCAATGAGCTTCTAAAAGCAGTTTGTTACAGTGCTTTACTGGGTCAGTCTTTTTCCACTTCAGGTTCTTACTATTCTGATTCAAGCTGCACACAGTGGGCTCTGGTTTTCAGTTCATATGACTTTGTGGAAGCATGAGAACTTTTGCCATTATATTTAGGGCGTAATTAATGCATCTTTGAATGGAATGATAATTAATGTCATCTGTGAAGATTTTGATGATTTAATGGTGAAGGTTTTTACATGTCATTTGTTGCAGCATTTTAAATGACTATTGAAATAGATTCTAATGTGTAAGAAGAAAATAATGTTTAGGAAGAAAAATACAAAATGTGAGTTGTTTCAAGAAAAAGAAAAGAAAAACTCAGGAGAAACTCTGCACACTGCTCTAATCCCATTGTATTTCTTTCCCAGCTCTTAGTATCCAAATGTATGTATGTTTGTATTTTACAGAGAATGCTGCAGGTTTTTTCTTCATTTTACTTGACATCTCCATTGAACCAGGCCTTGTCGTTGGTTTTTAATTTGGGAATTGAATACAAATCCACAGCTGTCAATCCTGGCAAATGTTATTTCCTGCTGGATTAAGAAGCAGTGCTTCTGTTGAGGGGAGGGGTTGAATCACAGGAGCTGCCTCCTACAGCTCCTTGACACTAAACCAAGGGGTGTTCTGCTGGAAGAAACAGTGCCTTCCAGATATATGAGGAAAAACTGTCCTACTGCATTTCCAATGTTGGCTTACACTGGTGGGCTGCACCATACAGATATATCCACTTGTATACACACCCACAAAGTAGGAAGAATGGAGTATAATTTCTGTCGTCATCAGTGTAGAAGTTTGGCTCAGTAACAATTGTCATCCCACTAAAATGGCATATATTTTTGGTTGTTAAATGTCTTTTTCATTTACATGTTGTTGTGAGGTTTTTCTGTTTGTTTTTAATTGCAGTCTGACTTACAAAGAGAATTTACGATGGGAGTTTTCTGTGTTGAGTCTAAGCAAAGCATGCTTGCTTAATCCCCCAGTCTTGCTTTGTGTATGTGGACACAGCTTTCTGCCCATGGAGATCCATGCTGAAGTCAAAAGATGCTGTATAGTATTGACTTTTTCAGTTTCATATAACAGGCTGAAGCATCAGAAATGATATTTTTACAGTTTCTTTGTTCAACTTACTGTATTATGTATTAAAATTTGATTCTAAATGTTACGATCTTGCTGTTAGCAGTGTCCTGTTACTTTTCCTTTAGCCAGCCTGGTGTATCTCTTTGATCCTTCAGCATTTGATGCAAAGACAAGAAATAATTGGTCCCTCTAGGCTCTGCTAAGGACATTTTTTTTCCATAATAGCTATATTATGTACTAGAATTTCAGGGCTTTTTCTAAGTGCAACAGATTTTTCCAAATGGTTTATGCTGTTTTATGCTGCAACTGTCAACATAAAGAGATTAACATAAAGTGTTACATGAATGTACATGCATGCCATTAATAGTTATGTCATACAATTCTTTTATTATTTGTCATCCCAAAGATCCGTGTAATAGCTGCTCTATATTATTAATTGATCCATTGCAGCAGTTCAGAGAGAAGCCTGACAAATGGAATCGGAAGGAATTTTGGGAGGATCTCCTGTTCCAAAGAAGAGGCTCAGCTGGATTTATGTCATTTCTAACAAGCATGCATCTGTGCTTTCCCTAAAATGACATCATTTCATAGCCTTTCCAAGCATTCAGTCTGAAGCGTCCTTACTATAAGCAAGGTTTTCCTGATATCTGGTCTCATTTTCCTGTTCTTCATTTCCAGGCTGTGATTTATTACCTTCTTCCCAGCAGATATGACATACATCTGCACCTTCCATGTATTTGCTTGAACAAGTCTCCTCTTGATTTTATTTTTGTCTATGCAAAGCTGTCTTCGTTGATTTTCTCTTCAGACAGTGCTTTCTCAATGTCTGATCATTCTTTCTGCTGTCCTCTGCCTTCTTTTCATCTGATCTGCATCTTTCTTAAGTGAAGCCTGAAGTGGAGCACAGTACTTGAATATGAAAGTCCTAAAACAAAATATTGAACTAGATTAAATGGAGGACCAGCAGAATCCTATTTAGTATACCTTTAATTTGACAGTGATGTTCACTCACACATGAGTGCCATGTTCATACTGGTTTTGCACCAAATTCAATTTCTTCAATTTCCTACTGCATTCTGATTTCCTAACTTCTTAATAAACTAGTCATATTAGAGAAGTTTTAATAAATTGAATTTACATTGGTTTTGCTGCTGTTCCTATTCTTATTATCCTATTATGGCTGAAATTGTTTGTGTGTGACACATTCTTTACAAATCTGTTAGCTGTTGCTTCTTTCCTTGATGCAAACATTAAAAATATTTGTAGAAATAATTCAGAATTACTAAGCATGCTATATTTTTGTAGATGAAAGCTCAGAATTCCATGCACAGTGAGAGGGCTTCCATACAAGCAAGGGCTTATGTGATCCATCCTTTGGTCTGAAGGGAAGGAGTTGTCTTGTATGCTTCATGTCACCCATTCCTAGTATCATGGTAATGAGAATGAAATTGCCTATCTTGAATAAAGGCACATCTGACAGAAGAATATGGAAAGCAGAAGATGCAACAAATGTAAAGGGAGAAGCAGTTTTTGCTAGAGAGGTAAATACAGTTCTGTGGCTGATGGGTTGAGAAGGGGAGGGACTCAGCCTTTCAGTACCTAAAGGGAGCCTACAAACAGGAGGGAAATCAACTCTTTGGAAGGGTAGATAACTGCAGGACAAGGGGAAATGGTTTTAAGTTGAGGGAGGGAAGATTTAGGTTGGATGTCAGGGGGAAATTCTTTACAGAGAGAGCGGTGAAGTGCTGGAACAGGCTGCCCAGAGAGGTTGTGGATGCCCTGTCCCTGGAGGTGTTCAAGGCCAGATTGGATGGGGCCCTGGGCAGCCTGGTCTAGTATTAAATGTGGAGGTTGGTGGCCCTGCATGTGGCAGGGGGGTTGGAGATTCATGATCCTTAAGTTCCATTCTAACCCTGGCCATTCTGCGACTCTGTGACTCTGTAACTCAGACTAGGGGTTGAAGTGGAATAGAAGTAGCCTCATTTCACCATTACAGCAAGTTTGTTTTCTGTTCCATCAGCAGCTAATCCACTCTTGCAGGCTTCATTTTCCATTCTGAATGTTTTGACACGTAGTATTGTGCTGAGTTCTAGGCAGCTGTGTCTATGGCCTCGGTCGAAAATGGCATGGATGCAATGAGTGTAAAGGAACTATTTAGACCAACAGTAAAATGCAGATCATACAGCAGCAGTGGGATTGTAAACTGGGGCTTCTTGTAAACGTTGTTAATCTGTGAGATTTCTTCCCACTTTGTTTTCCTAAATGCAAGATTTCAAAGGGGGGAATGAGCCTTTCTCATATATTAGATTATTATTATTCTTTCTGTCATTGAATCCCAGCAGCTCTCAGTTTGAATCCCATGTGGAATTAAGCTTCTAGTTAGTTTCAGAGCTTGAGATACTATCTTTCTTGAGACTTGTTTCGTTACAAGACTGGGGCAAGAAATGTTACTAAATATGTTGTCATGAATATTGTCATTGCATCTTGTAATATTTTCTTCAAGTTCTTGAAATGTTTGGTTGTCTTGAAGAATATTTATAAACTTCAGTAATATGTGATCCAATCAGGAGAAAGGCTACTTAGAGCTTCTCATTCAACTTCTTTTTCCTTTATTCCATCTTTAGTTACTTTCAGAAGTTAGAGAGAATATAAATTGGGTACAATAGGTCCTGCAGGTTCTCAGCCCTCTAAAACGCTCGGATGGATTAGTTTAAGGGCTTACCTATATTAATAATGGTACTTGCTTTAATCTTTCTACGTTTGAAACTTTTCCAAAAGTATACAACAAAGAAGAGTATTCATAGAATTAATATTGGATGTTCCAATTGCTGTGCCATGGCTATTAGTTGCTGTGCAGTGAGGTAAAAATGGTCTGTATTCACAGGTTATTATGTAGAAACAGTAACAGCCTCGAAAATGTTGGAGTGCATTATAATTAGAAAGATCACCTGCTAGTACACCTGTTGGGTGATGGCATAATGTAATATAATTTTATGTTAATTACTTCTCTGCTTTTCTCCTGCACCTGCTGCTTATAAAGTCAGAATTGTGCAAAGGTCTTAAGAAGTGACAATAGGAGCTGCTTGTCGCTGTTCATCAGTGTACGTCTTGTGTGCCTAAGCAGATCTTGATTTCAGCATGGATAACTGAGGTTTCTGTCATTTATTTGTAAACTTGAGTTACGTATTCATTGTATATCCAAATTCTGCATCCAGGTTACTTCCATTTTAGAAAGGTTTATATTGCATTTAGAGATTTCACATTAGCTATGCCACATAAAACAAAAATTTCTGTGCTAATATAAACAGATAAATGTTGTTTCTTCATATAATTATATTATTAAATACTAAAAGATGGGAGAGTTAGCTATTAATTACCATCTTTCAGAAATCTGAGTTTAACTAGAAAGTTAATTAGTTAATAGTAAGTTAGTTAATAAATTAATCCCAATTAAGTTATTTGTTCCTCACATTTCAACAGAAGAGCACGGTATCAAATGCTGTCTGTATTCTGCTTGTCTGTTCCTTTAAATTAAAATATTGAATGTAAAAATGGATTTGAATAGATGAGTACCTGGTCATGAGAAAAGGAGAAAGCTAATGTTAAGTGTGTGCTTTGAATTTTGACCTGCTTACAGATGTTGACACGTGCATATGTGTACACGCTTGAAGCAGAAGCTCCCTATTCCTGCACATAGGCGCTCACACGAGGTGGATTCAATCACATTTGTAGCTTTTAGGAACTACTTAACCTTTTTTTTTCAAAGTAGTAAGATTCTACCAGCCAATTGCAATCAAAATACATTCCCTATCTGCATGCTTATGAACTCGGTGAGTGAGAAGTTCTGCTTTGTGAGCTCGCTTTCATGTGCTGTGTATTTCCTGATACATCTGATAGAAGGGAAGAGCTAAAGAAAGGCTTTGTGGGAGCTGCTGTTGCAGTGCTTCAGAAACAGCTTAGAGTGGCAGTCTCTGTATTGCAGGCTTGTGCCACCCCTGTGCAGGAGGGTAGGGGAAGCACTTTGCAATAATGCTGCAGAAGCTGCATCTCTGCTGTGCTGATGCTGCCAAGTGTTGCTCACAGGTCTGAAGGAATAGCATGGTTTGTATACAATGTTTGGGAAAGTGAAATGTGGGACAGCAGTGTGCAGTCTTGTTTTGATGTAGTCAACTGAAGCTGAAGTCATTGTTATGATGAGAACCATACCACTTTGGTATCCTTAGTTTGACGTGCTTACATTCTTAGACTTGCTGTTGACAAAGGTGTTGGGGGTTTCTAATCATCTCTGAAGCAATGCTTAAGGTTTAGTGCTGAGAACCTTTTAAAAGTCTCTTGAAGGTAGAGTTTGTGAGCTTAAGCCCTAATGATCTGCCAGAGACTTTGTCAGCCATGTAGCTGCTAATTGAAGTAACTATAAACTCAGAATATCCTTCTGAGAAAGAGACCAGGGAACCATTTTGTATAGATCTTTTGCATTTGTCCCACATTAGTAAATGGGAGTCAGGCACCATGCAGACGCATCAAAATCCATCTGAACAGTGAGCTAGGTCAAGCCAGGCGTAATAGGTCTGGGTCAGTATGAGCCATGCCATGCCTGGTCTGAGCAGCTCGGGGTAAACCTACAGAGTGAGGCTGAAGCTTGAAGGACCAATGCTGTGAGTTCAGACCCTGCTTGCCCTCCCCCAAAACTGCATCTCACTAGTGTTAGAAAGGGAGACACCTTTGTCAGGGGGGTGGTTTTCCCATCACTGGCAGTTCGGGTGTGCTGACCCCTGTGATTTTCACAGATGCAAAGCTAATGAATGTAGTTGTAATCTGTTAATAGGTAACTTATTTTAGACCAAAAGCATTTTATTTGTAGCGTGAAATAGTACAGAAAGGAAAAACATATGTTGCAGACTCAGGATAGAGAAGGAAGGTAGCAGAAAAGGGAATATGACCACAAACAAAGGCACACCACAGTTCCTTGAACAAAGTGCTCAGAAAATAACTGTGGGAAAGGATAAGAAGTTTCTACTGACAGATAAACCTGAAAGCACACTGAAAGCAAAATTATAGCCCCTTTAACAGTCACTTGCCTTCTGCCTCTCCCCTCTTTTCCTCCCTCTGTCCCCAAATCAGTGAAATGTGTACACATTTTCCAAGGTATATGTACTTTATTACTTCGTCCAGGTGGAGGCTTGGGTTGGCTTCAAAGCAACAGACCTGCAGAATTTTCATTTGTATAAAAAAACAGAGGCACTAAAAAATGGATTGGTATTAGCACTGATATTTTTACAGTTTTCTAAGGAGAAGCACAATACAGGAATACCTGAGAGTCTGGAAATATGAAAGTAGTAGGCAATACTGGAGAATGTTTAATTTAGTAAAGGGCATTCTACATATCTATTACCTGCCTTTATGAATTACATACAATATCTTGCATGTGTTCCTGTGTCTTAATGAAGACACTGAAATAGCAATGGAGTTAGGCAGTAAGTCAGTGAATGTGTACATAAATAACACAATGTGCTTAATCACCAAAGTCACCCAGCTAAATAGTGAGGGGATCTTAAGCAGACTTCACGTGTCTATTATACTACTGCAGAACAAGTGTCACTGTACAGAGAGAGCAGTAGACCTGGCTCTCTAGTTGATTAGGGAAAATCCTTTCTGCTTCCTCATGTTTCATCATTACATGACCGAAATCACATAGCTGCCTTCATTCTGAGTCCTTGGAAGGGTGAAAGATGCTTAAGTATCTCTATCAATTCTTAGGGATGGAGGAATGATTCTGCAGGGGTGAAATGCCTTACCCAAAGACACAGAGTACTTCTTAGTACTACTTAGGAAAATAATACACTTTTTCTCTCCTGTGTTTAGAAAAGTAGATGTGTATTGATGTAAGAAACCAGTTTCAATAAACAGTGTTAATTGTCTAAAGAAGATAATTGTCACTGTTCTTAGAAAACTGAGATAGCTGATGGATTCCTGCTATAGGGTGTCATTTCTGTTGGGTTAGCTCGCAGACTGCCTGGACCAGTGACTGAGGTATGGATACACACTCTAGGATTGTAGCACTGCTATAAATCTTGGCATCCTTTGTGTGTATAATAAAACAGAGGCTAATTTTTCAGCTTTCCCTAAGTCCCGATTCATAGCTTCAGTGAACTCTGGATCCATCTTCGGTCTGAGAAGTCGCTTGTAATCATATGAAATGACGAAGTTGCAATTACAATGTGAATATTTTCTTGGAAGGACTAAATGAGTGGATTATGTACTAATCCCTTATTTAAAAATATCTAAATGGAATAGTCTCAAGGAAATAGACGATTAACAAATAAGAAGTATAATGCACAGCAAGTGGTCTAGCTGAAGAAAGATGATATAATCTAAAATATCCTAAACTAAATCCACTGTAACAAATTTAGTGGAAGACTGAATTACTTAAGATACATGTGGTCCATTTGGGTCAAGGCTAAAATTCAGGATAGAGAAAGATTTTCAAACTGCCTTTCTATTGTACTTCTCCAGTCCATGAACAGAGGATTCCAGCTGTGAATGGACCTAATCTTCTTAATAGTAAAAAATCTAAATATTTGTGTAAAAACAAGTAAGCAAATGTAGCAATAATAGCATACAGATACACTGAGGAGCTTCACTCTGTTGTTTGTAGATCTCTGTGAGTCATGGTGCAGCCCTGTTCTCACCAAGATTAATTGAAAGAACTTCTGTTGACTTCAGTATATGTAGAACAACTGTTCACCAATTAAGAAAATGTTTTTTATCTTCCCTCACACTAACATTTCCCTAAAGTTTCAGAGTATATTTGAAGACGGAATTATTTAACATGCAGCTGTATTCAAAACTGATGATGTTTTGACATGAAAGTTGTATTCATATTATACCATATTAACAAATTGCTTTTGAAAGCTCTAAATGACATTAATAGAGAGTCAGGACCCAAGTTAAGGATTCAGGTTTCTAGATACCATTTTTTGTCTAAACTTCACTCTGCTTTTTTCCAGGTCTGGAGTAGGTGTGACAGGTTCCAGGCAGACGTTGTTTTATGCAGAAGTAACAGACCAGATGAGAACGAGTGAAGGAGGTGGCCAACCTGAGGAAGGAGAGCTGATTGAAGTTGTAGAAATACCTTTAGAAGACTCCATGAAGTTTGCTTATGATGAGACTTTTCCCAAGACGATGGGTGTCATCTTCAGCTTCACATGGTTCCAGAATAACATAGCACCCAAGCTACCAAAAAAATAATATAAAAGCACCCTGATTTCAAGAGAAGATCTCCTGCTGGTTCTGTGGGCACAGAAAACCACAAGTCTGCCTGCCTTCATCAACTCACCTTGCTGCAGTTTTCAAATCATTCTCAGTTTAATTTGGAATTAAAATCCGAAGTAAAATCTGAAGTAATCCATCATTAGCAAAAATCTGATGAGCTGCACTGGGGCCAGTATTTGTCTCTGGGAGTCAAGTATTAATTCTCAGTCAAAGGCTAAGGAGATGTGCCTGGTTCTCCTTTTTCATGGCACTGCTCTACCACTGTTTTGAAGAGATGCTCAGGGCCGCGATGCAGCTGCTATGCCAGCCTGTTGCTGTTGGCTGTACATACTGGCAGCTGTGTATTCACTGAAGCTCTCAGAGCTGTTTGTCCTAATATTTTGGGGAAGGCAGCACAGCTTCGTAGTGACAGATATCCTAACTATGTTGTTGAGTTCTGCACAGCTTTCAGGGAACAGCTTTCTGTGTAGCTCCTGTACCAGAGAAAATGCTTGCGTTTCTGAACATGCAGACCTTTATTTCATAAGCAAACATGTCTGTAAATCCTTTTGCTAACATGTCATTCTGACAATAGACCAGCTGTAAGGCTGCATACTTCTGTTTGCTCCCAGCAGAACGCTGAGCAGCAGTGGTGGGGGTGAGTGATGGGGGGTTTCTACGGGAACACATGCTTCTTTGTTTGTTTTATGGATACTACTTGCTTAATTAGATCAAACTTTGTCCTCTAGAGCAGGACCTGAGAGGCCAAATTCTTCTCATTTGACTCCAAGGTGACTAACACAAGTGATTTCTCAGATTCCTTATCACCAAAATGTGAAGAGTGGGACTTTCCCCTCCAATAACGCTCCTTTGAAACCCAGCAGTCAGAAGTACTTTAATGAGAGACTTTATCATCATTTGTGCAGTTTACACTGAAGGCCATGCAGCTTGCACAGACATACTGAGCAGCACAATTTGATTTAATAAAGTGGTCTAATTGAAATGTATATTATTCTGCCAGCATGATTTAGATGTGGACTGTTTGTCACGTGAAACTGTTAATAGCATGAATGAGAGAGAATCAAGTCAGGACATTTAATTACAGAGTTGTTTATGTTATTCACTGAGTGAGTGTTAATTAAGATGTCTGCATTATCTGTACTTGTAGGGCTGTGGAGGTATGAAATATTTTTAGAAGACGAGTAGAGGGAATGTGCAAACTTTCACATAGCAGCTGGAATAATGCGGTAGGGAAGTGATTTGAAGTAGCTGCAGATCTAAAGAGGTGCTTAATAAATTAATATAAATAAGAAGCCTTTAAAACTGGTGCTCTCCTCTTGTGCTGACAGGAGGAAAGCTCATTGAAAAGCAACTGGAGAGAGCAGTGGCAGCCTGTGGAGTCGGACGCCCCTCATGAGAGTTCAGCACAGTTGCATTGAGTTGTGCCTGTGGACAGTCGGGGGCTGAATAATCATGAAAAGTAAATAAATTTTGTCTGTCTGATGTCTGATGTATTTACATTGGAAGATGTTTTAGGGCATGGTCTCCATTGTTGTGCAGCGTTACAGTGCTCAGTAACAGTATGTGTCCTATTGCTGCTGTGGCCTTCAAAACTGAATAAAATATGAGTTATTAATAGTGCCTTGCCTGCCCAGGAGTGTCGGTGTTGGGAGAGGACTGAGGGCAGTGCCAGACTTCCCAAATCTCACCCACACTGCTGCTGCTGTGAGCAGGAGGCTGCTTAGTCCGTCCCTCTCCTGGACGCGGTCCATTGGACAGAGTTTAAAGTACGTTCATCCTTTTCCTTCTTCCCTGTTAATTTTGGTGGTGATCTTTATGAGTAATTAGGACGGTTTGAAAATGCAGGAGAAAGGGTTTGAACTTTTTTCCAAATGGTAGATGATTCATATATACAAAAATACGACGAGAGCAATTCAGATCCCACTTTTTTTCATCGGGGCTCATTTCAGAGATCATAATTAGAGCAAATCTGATATACATCGGCCAAGCCCAGGCAGGAGAAAAGTGCTTCTAATGGGATCTTGAAATCATGTCTGCATTTCAGACCCATCCTTCGGACGTGCCACCACACATATGGCCACGGAGAGCCCGCACTTGGAATAAAACAGAGTCACCATTTGCTGGTAATGAATACTGACTCCGGCTTACAAAAACCTTATCTGATCTCATCCCCATGAGATCAGCGTCTCCCTTTTATTGAGCACAATCGATCAGACCACACTTAAAAAACAAACCTTAGTGTCTCTAATCTTCCTGATGTGGCTGTGGGATATGGAGATAATCTAACGATACCAAAATGATCGAATGAGCTTTGTTAGAAATTATACAGTAGTGGATATGAAGTCACCATCAGGTTTACTACGCGCTGGCAGAAACGACATGGCCAGTACTTTGCAAGCACGCGGATATTGTTTAGTTTTGTTCTTTCCTGCCATATTTGTATAGCACCTACCAGCATGATTCCCAAATGATGAATCCTGGGCCGGGTGCCCTGGCTGCAGGGCTGCTCCCCACCGGCGGCCGCTCGCCTTTTTGCCCGCTGCCTCATTTCCATCCCTCCCCGCCGCGGAAAAAGGCAGCGTGCCCCAACTCCCTGCAGGGCTGGGGCCAGCCCAAGGGCAACCGATATAATTGCTCCTCAAACGCGCGCGGACCGCGCAGGGCGGCTCACCGGCCGAATAGGATTTTTGCTAAATTAGGACAATTGCCGAGCAGGCTTCATCCCCTGGCCGTAGCTCTATAGATAGATGAAAGGCACGCCCAGTTGTGAAATCTGTTGAAATGGCACACCTGGTGCTGTCTGCAAGTCTATTCACAACCATCAGCAGGTGCGACTTGGCCTTTGTGGCCATAAAAGTCTGTGTGTGCGGCTCCTGCTGTGCTGCCCGCTCCTTCGGTCCCCCTCTGCAGGCTCCGCAGATTAGCGCTTATTTGAAGCCGCTCGGAGCCAGGGCCTGGAGCATGCAGCAGTTATGGAGGAATTGGGATAAGGCCCTTGTGGTTGCCAAGAAGGGACATGGGGTGGGATGGGCTCACCTCCGCTACGGTGCTGAGTTCAGCCCCTCTCTGCGCTCAGCCTCTCCGAAGAGGATTTGCGCTCACTCTGCTGCACGCAGGGGTGCACAGCCCCCGCTCACACTTGGTTTAAAGAAGGGTGCAGCTGCCTGCCCTAGAGTTTGCAGCAGGTTTCCAGTGGTAGTTTTCCTTTGCGCTGGATTACGTGGGATTTTGCTTGATATAAACCAAAACGATGTTCATATAAATCCTGCAAAAGTTACTCCTCAACTCCTGGAACTGTATAATTCTTGAGAGCCTGTCTCATTCTGTAATCAGGAACACATTTTTACAAGGGCTTTAACTGCTCTCCAGATAAATTACAAGGCAGCAGCAGCAGTCAGTCCATAGCTAAACGGCCTGGATTTGTGGTGCTCAGAGCTCTCTGGCCTGCCTCAGACCTGGAAATACAGCCGCACACTTATAAACCCTGCCCTGCATTTCTTTGCTGCTGGACAATGCAATATCCTGTGCTGGCCAATAAAACATTCAAAAGCAGTGGTGCTCTGAAAACCCTTTTGGACACTGTGCAATGAAGAAAATGGGCTGTCATGGAAGGTTTGCCTCTTCTCCCAGGTAACAGAGATAGCACAAGAGGTAACGGCCTTAAGCGGCTCCAGAGGAGGTTCAGGTTGCGTAAAAATTCCTTCTCAGAAAGAGCCGTAATGCATTGGCACAGCCTGCCTAGGGAGGTGATAGGGTCACCATCACTGTAGATGTTCAAGAACTGTGAAGATGTGGCACTGAGAGACGTGGCATGGAGGGGGTGGGTTGGTGTCAGATTAGATGATCTTAGTGGGCTTTTCCAACCTTTATGATTTTATGATGCAGGGACAGCAAGGAACAGCTTCCCTCATGCCCTGACTCCACTAAAATAAAAGTGCCTGTGCTCCTCTTATGTCCCCTGGGGTTGAGTGCTGGGTGGGGGTGTGAGGAGTAGAGCATTTAACAGCAACTTGATTAGATCATTTTACAAGAGAGGAACGTTGCTGTAATCATGATGGCGGCCACCTCCAAAGTGCTTTCGCTCATGCAGTAATCAGTAAAATAACCAGACAAGGCACAACCAAGCACTCCAAAGTGCTAGAAACAATTTAAGAAATGTTCTTGGGACAAGCAGTGGGTGCTGTGCAAACACCTCCTGGGCTTTCTGAAAGCGGCCCTGGCTGCCCTGCCCCGCAGGAATGCACTCGCTCCGATAACCCACAGCTCCTTTCGTAACCTCTCTTCCTTCGGGCTCCCCAATCCCACCCTGCACTTTCGGGGTGTTTCTTTGGCAATGGGATCAGGAAAACCAAACACAAGGTATCTCAAACCCTCCTTTCCTATTTAGCATGCAGGTGAGGGACAGCACTGTATGCTGCCTCTAAGGAGCAGGGAGTGGCTGTGATGGCCTCCCAGCCAGGTGAAAGCAGTTAGAATCATTAAGGCTGGAAAAGACCACTAAGATGACCCAGTCCAACCCCAGCTTACCCACCATGCCCACTGACACGTCCCTCAGTGCCACATCTGCATGCATTCTATAACACCTCCAGGGATGGTGACTCTACCACTTCCCTGGGCAGCTGTGCCACTGCATCATCACTATCTGAGAAGAAAGTGAGTTTGGGGGAATGAGGGCTGGAGGAGGCCCTGCTGCTTTTGCTTGGCTTTGTGCCTTCTACTGCTCTGATCCCAGTGTCCCCACTGAGCACAGACAAAATAATACTGATATAACCAAGGAATAAGGGCTGATTCCAGTGGCTTTTCAGGCACTGGGCAACATTAGTGGTTCTATCTGTCAGAGCAGTGACAGCTCCTCCAACAGAGGATTTAGCTCCTGGATGGACACTAATGGGCAGATTTTTTTTCTTGCTGGCAAAAGCGATGTGTAAATACCCTGCAGTTACTAATATAGCTCAGCTTCCAGCCGGATTAATGGGAGGTGTCAGCAAGCACAAAAAGAAGCAAAAAAATGGAGGGGACAGTCCTGCTTCCTGCAGCCCTGTGGCTGATCCTAATGCCCCGTCCTTTTTCTATCAATCAAAGCTGATTGGCAAAGCTTTTTAATTCAAGTCTCTAAGCAGGATGATCAGCCTTTACTTAGCCAGTGTTGATTTCCACTTGACCAGACTGCCTTGCAGCAAGGTATCGTCTTATGGCACAAACCTTCTTACAGGAGATAAAGAAACTGAGACCTCCCCGATCCTCCTCGTTACCGCCCCGGCCCTAACGAAGGTGCCCATCCCGCTGCCCTCATGTTGTGGGCTGGAGTCCCAACGCTGCTGCAACGTGAAACAAGCCTGGCTCCGGCAGCACACAGCCCATGGCACAGCTCCCTGCCTATTTTTAGCTACTTTTTCAGAGAAACGGGGCTGATGCAAGGCTGCCCAGCACAGGGCTCCAGCCATCACCCACCGCATGGACGGCGGAAGGTCGGGACAGCTCCAGGCAGCTCCAGGACGGACTTAAGGATGTTGTTGGAGATCCTGACCCCGCCGAGCAGAGATACGAGCACATCGCACAGCCCCGTCACGCTCAGCACTATTTATTATCACATAGAGTATCCTGAGCTGGAAGGGACCCACAAGGATCATCGAGTCCAACTCCTGGCCTCCCTTCCCTTGGCTTGGGGGCACGCAGCAGCATCCACACTGAGTGGCAGTGCTGTTTAAAAAAACGTAAATGCCAAAAGATAGAATATTAGATGATTCCTCTAAGCCTGTCTGTACATTAATATTCCTATTACTGAACACTGAAAGACCATTGCACTAATGCCCCTTATAAAACCAGCCTGAGTTTTAGTGCTCAGAAAGCTGCTTATCTGCTCCTCTGGACTAAGGAGACTCAAATGCCTTTTAATTATTAAAAGGGCTGAATTATGTCTCGGTTTAAACCTGGAACTCAGAGGGCCCACAGACCTCTAAAGGAGGCAAAGTCCTTTCAAACCCCA